TTATAAATTGAAATAAATGTTGTTAAAGTTAAGTTTCACATGATATCTCACTTAGTTAAATAAATAGGTCTTTTCTATCTTCCATGAACGTCGTAAACTGAGAGTTAGAGCCCGCGGCATCCTCGTCTACTTGTGGGTCTTAAAATAGTTACACTCTCTTGCTTGCTCTCTTCTCGTCCGCGTCCACTCTGAATTCCGTTGTATCTTGTGAAAATAAAATGCTGACAGCAGTTGTCGATAAGGACAGGTATTCAATACAAATGGATTGATGTTTGATAAATGTACAGTTGCAGATTATATAGATGAATAACAGACACTTCGACATGTTGCATTAATACTTATTAATGATAAGCCACGAAGGAATGATTAACAGTATTTTTTTTTATTCGATTAATCATACTGCAACAGACTTGGTCTTATGATAACAGAATTGCAGACTGATAAAATTCCATTTTTGAGCATTAAAATCATATTTTTGTTATTTACCGTAGTATCTCCTGTTATGCAGCTGACAGTAATGTATTTCACTGTTTTTAAAATAGTTATTTTTAATTTTAGGCTCTTTTTTTCTGACATTTTAAAGTAAAATAAAATTTTTTTCTCATTCTCTAATACTGAAATGAGAGTTGATGTAAAAATAAATAAATTTTATTGACTTGTTTTTTGATTGAGTCGCAGAAGACTTTTTGAAAAACACTTCAAGATAAAATTTATTATTTTTTTTTTGTTAATTTTAAATTGAAATTATTTTTATATAATTAAAAATAAACAATATAATTTTTCAAGGAAATTTATATGATTATTTTATTTTAAATTAATAATAATTGTAAGCTCTGGATTAAAATTAAATTTAATGAACATATCTTTCATTCTTGAATCAGAAAAAAAAACATTCTTATCAGCCTACAACGATCAGAAAAAGACATAACTTCATTTTCAACACTTCTTAAGGAAATGTATTTTGCAATAAAAAAAAAACCAGGTGGATTTTATTATGGGGTCGTAGGAAAAATTGAATGAAACGCGCAATTCTGTAGTGGAAACCGAGCATGATGTTCTCTCCTATTGTGACCCAACTTCCGGTACGTATACATGAACAGTTGAACCCGGCCAACTGTTATTCTGGACAATAGAATGGTTGTAGGTAGTAAGGTATGAACCGCACACTATAAGCTTATATACGCATGTATAAAATAGCAAAAGAAACTGCAGTTTGCTACAGAGAACAAGAGAAAAGAGATTGAGAGGTATATAAAAGGATTCAAAGTGTGCTACAAACAGCTAGACTACTTTATTTTAAATTTCAACCAGGGAATATACACTCGATATAATACTGTTGCACTCGAAACTTGACCATACGAACTCCCACGTTCGTCTCTGCGACTCTTCGGTGTCTAACTTTCGTCACGCTTATCAATTTACACGCTCATTCTTTCAGCTCGTCCCTACTTTACAGTGTATACGAATTACGCTTGAGATTGAATAAAATAAAAATGTAGCAAACTCATTACAATAAGTACACTAAAGTCGACAATAAGATGTTGACTATTAAGTAAATAACAGACAGATAAGAAGTACGTATCATCATGATGAGGCATCAAATGGTATTATCAGAATGCAAGAAAATCAACTCAACCACAAAATGCTGATAAAAACCAAACGACACTGCTTCAATTGTGCATAAAATTGTAGAGATGAAATTGTTTATGCAAATAAAAATCATTTTTCAAGGCCATAGATAATGATGGCGATGGTGATGATGGTGATTCTTATCACCAAGAAGTGGATAAAAATTGATTAAAAAAATTTAATTCAATATTTTTCTGTCTCCACTTCTGCTTATCCCGGATTATCTTAAGTAAACTTTTCAACATGACATATCAGTTATATTTTTTTAGGTGCTTTAAGCAATATGAGCAAAGCATGCAATTTTATTTATCCTTGAGTTTCATCTCTGCGGTTAATTCTCTTGGCAATTACACACAAAAACTCGTCGACATTATTATGTGGATTATTGACACAAAAATTCACGCTTTCCATCACAGTTATCATCATCATTGTTGTTTCTGTTGAATTGAATAAAATTTCTAAATAATATAAACAAGATAAATTATAATCAGAACCTTTTTGTTTATTACAAACGTGAGGAAAAGGAGTTGTGGCATCATCTGAAAAATGGTCTAGTCTTGGAAAAAAGTCTAGTGGCTTTCTAAAATCGTATCGATCAACTCTTATACTCCCATCGAAGCTGAAAGAACTGGAAGAAGATCGTCTTATAAAGTCACTTTCACCCTATACCACTCGATGTATCTCTTCTTTCAGCTGTTTCAGCAAAAGCTATAAGCTTTGATACAACATAGTGACAAGATAGAAAATATATTATAGGTTGTTTCAAGATCGTACGACGTCGCGAAATCATCAGGGAAATGAGACTTGAATCTCACGATCTAGATTTGCACCCTACCGCATATCTAGCAAGAGAGTTGCTGGTTTCATTACCATATCAGCTGCTACACTATCTATATAACTATGACACGTAGACCTGAGCTATCTCATCTTGGAGCTAGAAGACTTTCTACATGTAAAATTAACCAATATAAATACCATTGAACCCTTGATTACTCATTCTCGTCATTGGAAATTAATTATCAACATCCTTTGTTGCAATCACGGATTTACGCTTTCATAGAGACTACTTCCTCGATCAGCATTTTATTCCCAGAGTTTTTTTTTAATTTATATAGATTGTCCTCTAAAGCAATCAAATACTACTCGAGAGACTGGAAAATAAATTTTCAGAGGAATCTTTTCTGTATTTTCTTTCTTAAAACAGATCTGCTGAACATCAAAGAAGATATTCTTTCTCTTTTTGATAAATCAAAGGTCCTTTAAACTAATCATGAAAAACATTGCATGCATGACGCTTGCATAAAATAAGAAAAGAATTCAAAATTTATGAAAAAAATGTATTTTTAACTACATAACGGAACTCTTCATCATTTTTATGATTTTTTATCCTACTCGTATTCTTCCCTCGTATTCTTGGTTCTTTATTTGGTTTTGTACATTAGTTTATGCTTTTTATGCTAGCATGACGTGTGCAAGGCTCATGTCTGGAGAGTTTGGAACGTAGCATTAGCAGAAGTCGAGCGACAAAACACATGACGATTGGGATAAACGGTATATCAGTTAATGTTATACCTGCACCCTCTCTTGATGGGGAATCGTGTCGTCATGTCGCGCGCGTGAATTCGACGAAAGAAAAATAACGACCAAAAGGAAGTCGTAAAGTTGAGTTTTGGAGTATAGGTCCCACACGAGAATGACGAGACATAAAATATACACGTGCTCGCGAGAGTCTGACTCAATGAAGACCGGTTTTACTTGCCCTGCTTTGAGAAAATAATTTAAGAAATGATTTTTATTTTTTTTATTTTCAATCCATATAATAAACGAGTTTAATGTACTGATGAAATTGTTTTTAGTATAATTGAACGGTACTTGTACCACTACTGAATCCACCAGATAATATAGATATATGATATTAGCATTGAATTAAAAGCCATTACAGCTCGTTATTGTTATTAAAGAAACTGATGATTAAATTTGAAAGTAGTAGTAGTATAGATCTCATCCAAGTTCAAGCAATAATTCCTGTATTATATACGTTTACCATTTTGCACACTTGAAATGTTTAAACGGTACCATGACCGAGGCCGTGGACTTACACAATATAAAAGCCTACTGCTAATACTCCCAGTCATGATGATTATCGAAGAGCACTAAATAAAAATCATTGTCAGATTGTATCTACACATGAATAAGGAAAACCCTGGGAAAATGAAAGTGTATCCCAGATAATAAGTAATTCAATATACATCAGGGTCTTGATGAATATAATGAATATTAAATCATTAAAAATAATTACAATAACCTTCCAGTCATCAGCTCCCTGTTTTCGATCACATGATTCACTAGTAAACAATTATGTCTAAGTGATTAAATCAATCTCCATTGAATGGCGCCAAAAATTTTTTCATGGGTTTTAGTCACACATCTGTAGCAGATATGGACTCGTATGACTGGTTGAGAGAATACTTCTTGTGAATCATTTGAGTCTATATTTAAACGTGAAAATTATTTGCTCGTTATTTAGCATCAAACCATCAATGATTTTTTAGTGTAATTCAAATAGTTGATAATTAAAGATACCTACAAATGCAATATCATGCCAGATGTATTGGTGTAGTTATATCGAATTTTTTTCAAACAATTATCTGCATCATTAAATAAATAAACGAACAACCATAATATTGCGCATTGGATAAATGAAGAAAAAAAAAATATACCGTAAACATCAATAAACATCGTATAGTTATTTCTGATTAATCTCCTGGGGAATACATAACAAATGTATATATAGAAGGTGGCCCCTTGTTTTCTTCCTTCTTACGTGTCTCATTAGGCTCATCGAATGCAATGTACTCCCCAATGATGCCACGTTATGTTCAGCACGTGCTCTGATATCTCGTTCTATGTTTTATGCTACGACATTTGCAACGGTACTCGAATGTTTGCACTTTTAATTGGAGCTTCGTAATGTCCTCGAGAAATTAATACAAACGTTTGACCAACTGTTGTGCTCTAATTTGGACAATTGAAATAATTTTCACTTATATTTCTCAAGCGATAAAGGAATCGTGAGTAATCAAAAACAACTCAGTCTTTCCAACAACCTTATACGTCTGCAAGAGATATGTATACGTTTCTAATCTCCGCTGTGTAAGCTAACACGAAAATGGATGACGAATTTTAGCGAATGCGCATCGCGTCTTCTCTTGAAAATTCTATCTCTCTGATATGGCGTCTAAATTCTAACAATGTCTCGATACACAAATACATGCCCTTGTGTACAAGGTAACTTTATAAATACATCTAAATAATCCCTAGTTAAAAGATCAACAAAAACTATCAACAGACGTTAGTTTATTGATTTTTACCTTTCTTTATTATCCATCTCTCTTTGACAGGATGAACAAGTATGTAATATCCACTGGTAGTAAGTCGTAAGGAATCAAACTTCCGGCCAAGTTAATTTTTTTCCCACTAAATAAAAAAAGTTCTCACTTATTGCCCGACAAGTTTATATTGGTCGCACTATTATACGAACCACTTGAATTACTGTTTATTTATGAAGTTTAATATTAATTGATTTTTTATAAATAATTATGACGTTGATGAACAGTGTTGACTTTTTAAGTAAATGTTAAAAAAGGTAAATAAAAATGATTTAGTAAAATGTATTATAAAAATTCGCAAACGATTCAGTGAGAACGACAGGTAAACACAACCACACAAGCCGGCTTAATGTGAAAGACTGAAGAGTCAGCCAGACGAGAGAAATAATCGGTTTCTCTTCGAGTCCTTTCGGTAAGACTCGGCACTCTGAACTCCAGGTATAGGAGGGGCAAACTTGGAGCAAAAAGCACTAGACGACACACATCATTGACATCACACATTGTATCGACACGATACACACGCATCACTTTGTCTAATCTAAGCTTTTAATTTGATAATCTGATGTTTTTAATGAAAAATCATAAAAATAATTAATTAAATTACATAAATAATAGTTTAATAAATCACATCAGGGGTCTGAGTATCTTTTAATTTTTACTCATGTGATGCTCCCCATAATATAATTAAAACCAGTAGCACAGTACAACATTCTTATACTCATCTTTACCTTTTTTTCTTTGGCTGTGTCCTAATAATAGTGTAGACGCTCCATCCTCATCTCGATATGATGCCCAGATTAAATGCCGTCTTCGACTCAATATCAAAGACCAAGGTTGAAGCATCCTCGCTGCCATATACCATGCAGACTGCAACATAGACATTGCGAGACATTGCAAATTATTATCTACCGTCTTTCAAGTGATTTCACGGAGTAATTTCCGGATCGCGTCAATTTTATTTCTAATAAAGACGATTATAATTCGATTGAATGGCCGGAGGAAACTCATCTCTGCGGTACAGACGTATTAAATTATTTTTCTTAATTCTTTACACCATACTGCCTATGTGCTATTACTGGGTTAATGTAAACATTTTTATAAGTGAATCATTACATCTAATATTATAATTTATCTCGTAATATTTATTCTCATCATTTATTTATTTTCCATGTTCACTCTAAATTCCTTTAACGAGTTTCATTATTATTTTTTTTTCTCTCTCTCTCTTTTCCATTTTTATGACGCTGAGAAGAAAATTAATTCTATCACGTACTTATTTTTATTTTTACTTAATTCGTTTATTAATTTAATAGAAAACTCTTAACCTCAATTAATTGTATGTTAAATTTTTCCACAGTTCATTTAAATGATTGCAATTACTGTTATTTATTTTTATTATTTTTAATAAAACAAATATTGATTTTTATATATATAAAATTCATTTAATATTAATTATTATTGATGAATTTTTATTGTAAATATTTAATAGCAATATAAAAAAAATAAAATATGGAAAATATTATATGGAAAATTTTTTTCAAATGTCAAGATAAAATAAACTGTTTGATACGAATGGCTGAAAAACGTTGATAATATAATTAATAAAATTATCGACTGCTTCAAAGGATGTTGTTGTTTACAAGAATACCAAGTATCGAATTAACGAAGGAGAGTTAAGTGAATTTTCTATTATAGCAGTATAATGGTCTACTCTCATTTGAGTTTATTCGTTGGCAAAAGATATTAATAAATTCATGACGAAAATGGCTGGTCACAGAAAGGGGAGGTTGTTGAAGGCACGCGTTAGTGGTGTCTTAAATCACAGGGCATTGCCGCTCTGAACGCACCACTTATCATTTCCTCAGCGTACGTATTTGTAAGTAATAATAATAATGGCCCTGACGCCGCAGTAAAGATCTCAAGAGAGTCATATTCATCTCTATTGGTCCTTATATATGTTCTTTATGCAAATAAAATCCATATTACACTCATTTTATTTATTTTCAAAATTTTTTTTCAATTGATGTCTATTTAATATCCATTACGAAACCAACTTTAAAAGCATTAGAAATCGAGAATATTGGTCCAGGCACTCCACATACCAGTAAATATAACTGATAACAGCTTTTTCAGTCTGCTAATTAAGTCAGCTTGATTAAATAAATAAATTCTGGTAATATCATTAACAGTAAAGATAATTATAAACGATTTTTATTTCATAACACATTAAAATTGGAAGCAAAAAGGTATAAAATTTGAGTGGTATTGAAAATCAGTAAAGTCCTTTGCTAATTTATTGTAAGACATACATTTCGAATCGGCTCGCACGTGGCCCTATATCAAGCAGTAGAATCAGTCGATAAGAGGAGACCTTATCCAAACCGGTTCCCTACGTTAAGATTATTATACGATTCCTGGAGTCGTTGGCCGAGAGAATATTACATTTACTTGATGAAAATGATTTAACTATTCCCTTTTAATTTTCCATTTCCCTTGGGAACTTTTTTTTCCTATTTAATTAACATAAAAATAATTATAACTTGGAATGTAGGCAATGATGAAAGTTTAACATCTCCAGATAATTTTTTCTTCCCAACTTGTGATTAATATTTTTTTTAAAGATACTTGTTATTAAGATACCAATAAAAAAGTACGCGTTACCAAGATTTTCAACAATTAATCAGACTAAGAAAAGGGCAGGAAAAGAAAGCTCTTTTTTATAAATTTATCTAGCAATTAATTTGATATCTAATTTAGTTATTTTTTCATTTATTTGATATGATTGACTGATTCATTTCTAGAGAGTTGGTACTTTTTCATTAATCTTGTATATAATATTACATAAACTTCTAACCATAATCAGGATTAAAAACAACAGAAGTAAAAAATCAAGAAATAATCCAAGCTTGAATGTAATAACCACTTACTCGATAATCAAATATTGGCAATCTTTACGTCTTTCTCTCAGTCAATTCATAAGTCAACTATCGTAGAATTCGTATTATAAATTAGACTTTTACATCAGACAAAGTGATGTGTGTTTATATAGACTGCATCGTTCATCCGTATATAAACCTATCCACACTAATTCTCCTCTCACCGAGTAAACTATAAAAAAAGTGATGCTTAAAGAGTAGTCTTCTCTAATTCGTTGATGAGTGATCTCTTCCGTAATATATAACATTAGATTGCTTTCAAATTCGATGGGCTCAGCTCGATAAATCGAATACGTTATAGTTATCAAGCTGACACGTACAATTCGTTTGGGATTTAATTATGACGAATGAGGAGAATGTAACAAACGGTAGCAAAGTCGTCCTCTCGATAAACAGCCATTTCCATTGGGAATAATTATTGCCGTCTCGAGATCGGTGAAACGTGTCGATGTCGGTACTTGATACACGTATCTACTTGATTAATGATTTCAAAAGTCGCCACCGACAACAACCCATACACTATTATGGTAATTTTCAATTTCTAATGAATAAAGATTTATTCTATGCAAAAATTTATTTATCACATTTGATATACGAAACTAATCAATTATTGTATTTCTTATCCGCATATTAAAGAGTACTCTGTTTAATAAATAGTATTGATAGAATTTCATTTTATGCATAAATTATTCATTGAATTGATAAAAAGGTTCATTGGTATCAGTTTATTCAAATTACAGTTGACCAAGAAATGCTGTCTGTCTAACTTGGAGAGGGTCTCAGCTATCAACTGAGACGTTTACTGCAAGATGTACCGTAGAGTGGACCATGGAATGGATCCTAGGGTGCCTTTCAGACACTATGAGTGATGGAGAGTCTTTGATGGATTTCTTATTTCCTTGAATATTTATTTTAACATTCTGTGATTAAAAAAATGTCTAAGGATGCTTCACGTTTTTTATAAATAATATTTTAACTGAGTTGATTATTTCAAATTTTTTTTTTTGCAAACATAAAAATTTGGATTACTGTGGAAATAGTTTTCTTTCGATATAACAGAGTATTTTCTACGAGTAGGCTTTATAATTTAATGTAATAACAAATAATCATTCATAGTTGAAGGAACAAAATATCCATTACATCATACTACTGATGATGGTGGATTCAATTCCATGTAACAAATTGATAGCACAAATGTTTATCATGAGAGCAAGCAAGAAGTATCATAATGACTACTTGGCGGATTCAGAAAAACTTTATATATTTTTTTGTATACATCTTTTTCAACTAAAAGTGAACAAATGTTCGCCAGATGTTCCTGATAAAGGCTGACTTGGCTCCAGAAAATGATGATTCAGAACATCCATTTGACTCTGAATGGAATGAATGTTCGATCAGCCACCAAATAATTTACGATTGGTTGGGGAAGAATAGATAAATATCCAAGTTAATTTAGAGGAAAATTCGAGAGCAGAAAATTTCACGTCATGACAAAATTACTCATCTCATTTTAAATTCAAACTTTCTAGTGCGATGTACGTACATTCTTGGGTAGTTTGCCAAAAAAGAAAGTGCAAACGAGAGTGAACTCATACATCACTTGTAAGTTATTCGATTCGTAGTCAGTGATGAAAGTGATTTTGTGGTATGTTTAAATTCTGCATCGGTCGCGGTATTGTTCATAATACATAAAGCTTTTAAACATTAAATTCATCAAGTGAACAACGATCATTGTTCCTTGCAATGACCAGTGGAGAGTCACCAGCATGTCGAGGTTTCACAGTTTTGAAGGATGGAGACTCAAATAAAGTTCTAAACCTAAAGTAAAGCTCATCAAAAACAAAAATAAATACCCTTCAAGAAGTTAAATGTAATAAATTAATATCAGTATCATGTATTTCAATCTGACAGTGTGTAAATAAAAATAGAATATAAAAATGATAATATATACCACCCAAGCGACTTTGCGACAACGGTTTGGGAGTTCAGCAAAGTTCATGCAGACATAAATTCCTTAGTGGAGTTGGGCATTGTCCTCCTCCACCTTCACCTCCTTTAGCTGGCGAGTATGGCACGCCCAAGAAATCGAATGAATGTCGCGATGAATTTTAAGAGACTCTTTAACTCGTATATGTACGTGTGTGCATGTCGAATGATTATCCAATGTACAAAACGAATTGTGCAGTGATGATTTTTTTTTGCTTTTTTTCTTTTTCTAAAGTATTTAATAGCCACTTTGACATCATAAAATTTTTATAGTCCTGAATTACCGTTATCATAAAATTGTTTGCGTTGCTCTGCATCAATTTTGATACATTTTTTTTTTCATTATCTTTTTCTTTTCAAAGGAATGAATCTTTGAAAAAATAAATAGATAATAGGAATCGGGCATAGTTAATAATTATGACCGCTCTGTT